ATTTAATATATATAATAATTTTAGTATGTTTTAATTACAGATAATTTAACATGTATATTATGTAGTTTAGGGAGGGGTGAGTATAGTTTGAAGTTCATATATAAATTTTTATTTTATTATATCAATTAATTAATTGTTTATTAATTTTTTAATATAATTTTATATTTTATAAATTAATTTTATAATTCCGAGTGGTGTTTAATAAATACATTCTAATAAAATGAATGGGGATTGTTTAATTTATATTTTATTTATTTGCATAGTTTAATAATAATGGGATTGTAAATTCTTAGCATTTAAGATTATTAATGATATATGAAATGAGATTAGGAGGTTTAGTTTATATATAGTTTTTATTTATGCATTTAGTAGTAATGTAGGGCCCTGTGGTGTTATGCATAGCTTGCCAGCCCGTCAGCGTATAGTGACATAGTGCACAGTAATTAATTTTATCATCTGTTTGGCAATAAAATTTTCCTTGATGGAGTGTTGCATCTAACAGACCCCAAAAAGATGGCCGCGCACATACGGACTACAATAAAATGGCGCCCCTTAGATATATATAAGGCAATGAGTGGAGTGACGTCCAATCATATCCCCCTGATGAAGCCACGTGACCCGGTGGCGTAACGCGTAGGGGAGGGGCTGTGACATCACAACGCTGTCTCGGACAGAACGGCGAGTATAGGCAGAAGCACACGCAGCAGGCTATGCTTTACCATTTTGAGCTTGTTTTAATTTTCACATATGTGAGTGGAATATTGTTAGCTAATACATTTAACATTTAAAAAGGATAAGGCACTATGGTTTCTCTTTTTTTATGATACCCTTAATGTGGCACACTGGAGAGAGGATTTTAAAGGAAGGAGGAGACCCCTGGAGGGGAAAAGGGAGATATCCATCCATCCATACCCTATACAGGGATCATTCTACTAGAGAGACCCCAGGTGGAATATTACCAAACTACAGCTATCCATACAGCATTTGGAAAGAATATCGCATACAGGAGAAGTGATTTACAGCTGTCCAATTAGGACAAAAAGCTGTTTTAGCCTAATATCATTTAGGCTATATATAAGGTGAGCGCATATATTGATCAACTGCATCCAGATACTGGAGTTGGAGCTTCTGAATTTAAAGAGGACTTTTTTTCACTATATTGAGATGCGGGTTATTGAATTAGTTTATAATTTGATTTGCACAGTGGTTATGAGCACAGTCAATATGGTTTGATATTTTATTCACAATTTATTTTTTATTATAATATATTGTATTCACGGTAATAACGCATCTGTTTTCAGGTGCATATTGAGCATATAATCAGGGAGCGCTGCACTATTTGTACAATTTGTTTATTTACACTTTTTAATGAGTTGGTGTGAGTGTCAGGGAACCAGATGGGAGGGGTTATAATTGTGTAATTAGCACAATTTAAAACTTCACCATAGTAGCTCACAAGTAATTATATAATTTTCTTTGGGAGAAAAACATCATAGCTTTAAGTTGTCATTATGTAAGAGTTGAGAAAATATCAAGAGATTAGAAACCACAACAGATTGGATGAAATAAATGTCTATAAATTACTTTTGTGAGAATAGATATAATGTTTAGTGATTTATAATTACAGCCACTTTTGGGGGAGGTTGATGGAAAGATTGTTTTTCTCAGCCAGCTAAATATGACATATCTTTTATCCATCCAACAGGTGGAGTGCTAGTTTCCTTTTCATACCATTAGCATGATTGCATTTCAGCTGCACTGAAAGAGCCCTTTGTTTAGAGCACAGAAGTGAGTTATCAGGTTAGTAACTCTTCTGTTATCATATGGCTGGGTCAGAGGTTTCTACTAGAGAAATCAAATTGCAAAGCAAGCTGCTCTGCTAGAATGTCTCATTAGATAGTTCAAAGTACTCTGGGAACCTTTTGTAGTGTATTAAATGTTTATTTGTAAAACAAAGATTGCAAATATCATACTGAAAAATCAGATATACAACAGTTTAAAATGATTACAAACCTAAAGCAAAAACTAAAATAAAATTGATTTAAGCCATTATTATCTTCCATCAAATGTATAGCATGTAATTTGATAAAATTAGAGAGTGGTCATGAATGAAAAGATCCAAGCAATTCAACAACATCTGGAGAAAGTGAAAACCAGGCTGGTAAAGAGCACAGCTCACAAACACTGCTAAAGACAACAATGCTAATCTCATTTTAAAAGTAGATACAAATAAAGAAAAATCAAAACATAAAATAGCAGAAAATGTAATCAAAATAATTTATTTTATATTGTATTACCTTTTTCTCTGTCTCCTAGAATATTCTAACAGATATACAGCTAATGTTAAAGATTCAATATGCAGAGGAATTTGGTGCAGTAAACACATGCAATGTTGCTAAAACTTACTGGCCATTAACTATGAGATTTTTCAACTCCAATAATGAAGAGGTGCATGTTCCATTGGGTTAAAAAAGAAGCAAAATGTTTTAAAAAAATGCAAATTGCTACTGTAATTTTCCTCTCCTGGTGCCTATCCATGGCAACATACCTGTGATAGAACTCTGCCTCTAATCACTCCCTTAGGGTCAGTGAATAGCATAAAAGAAAAACAATTTTCTGTAATAAGCTTCATACCAAGAGTGGGTCTGTATGCTGCCATAGATAGGCATCAGGAAAGAAAAAGCACAGTAAGTATTTGATGCAATTTTCTGTTTTCATAGTGCCTACATGGCAGAATACCTGTGATAAATAACTAGCTGACAGGGTGGGTTGATGTACAAAAAAAGTTTTACCTAAACTGTTGCTCCCTTTTCTATCATGCATATATGATATGTGAGGATTTTGTTTTGGTGGTGATTGACTCATGTCTCATAAGAATGAAGCAGCCAGCCAGAAAGAGGCTGGCTGCCTCAGGGGGTTATTTTGACCCCTGAGGACACACTTTAGCAAGAAATGCGTTGGGAAGAGTTTCTGTGTGTTGATGTCACACTGCTGCATGGATTGTACACTGTGACCATATTTGTAAATGGCAGTCAATTTTGTTTGGTTTTATGTGGTTTATATATATATTATGCTGGATTGTTTTTAATAAATACTACTCAATGAGAAGCTTGTCAGGCTCCAGCTTGTGAGCTTTTATTCTATACAGCAATGGTATTTACCTCTCTGCCTTGAAGGTAGTGTCACAGTCAGTGTTGCAGCCAGTGAGGTACCGAAGGGACTGTAACAAGAGAAAAAAAGTGAAGCTTTGCCTGGGAGATATAATGAAGTGCTTTTGCTGTCATTATTTACACAGCCATGCCCTTTGGTGAGTGTTGGTGGTGGTATTTGCTCAGTGGGTATCACAAAGGTTTCTGTTGGTCCACATAATAGTGATGGAAAATTTTGTGCACTTTATTTTTTATGAACTGATGGAATTTTTTACTCTTTAATATTTATACACAGAGGAATGGAACTTTTTACATTGTAATTTATGAATTGCACTTTTTATTGATGAATTGCACTTTACTTTGATTAATAGCACATTTTAGATATTTATTGAATCTTCCTATTTTTCTAGTATTTTTAGTAATATTGTATTCTTACAGTTACTGCATTTTACACGTATTTATTAGCCAGAAAGAGGTAGATGAGTGAAAAGGTGGAAAAGGATTAATAATTGAAAATATGAAGAAAAGCTTAAAACATAGACTGTAGCAAAGTACAGAGTTGCCTGGACCAGGAAGAAAGGTAAGACCAGCAGCAGCAATGTTCAGTGGGGAGAAAAATTACTCCCCAGGACCAAACAGCCACCACTAACTGCCCCTGACCATTATTGTAAACTGGTTGGCCAAATATGCCCACAAAGCGGCCCCAAACCCTGTACCGTGGTATAAGGGCACATTTTTCCCATCCAAGATGGCGCCCAAATCTTCCACACCTAACTGCATATGCACAGCAAGCAGTGTGATGTTAACTGTACACCTGCTGCCAGCCAGAAAAGATGCCCCTTAGAAGGTAGTGGCATTAAAAAGATGTACACAGCACCAAGGGGAGAGGAGGAAAACAGGGAGGACGGAAGGCAGAAAAACAGCCCACTGCAAAAATCAAACCAGGAAATGCCGTATATCATACATCAGGACTAAAGGGAAAGAGTTAAAGAGCTTCTGTGCACAGACTCACCTGTGTGAACTCAGAAGGAAAGCCAAATAGATTAGAAAAGCTGGGCACCCTATGCCCTGAAACTTTGCAGACACTTCATGTTAGCAGATTTTGTTTCTAGCGAGGTAATACTGCAATGCCCCATAAAACCATCAGAAGAGGCCTCCATACTGTTTAGCTCATTTATCAGCCCAAGACCTGAGATTGCGCCAGAGAAAGGCTGAACCCAGGTTGAAAAACTGATCTAGGCAGAGATAGGAACATTGCTTCACTGGTGCATGAGTTGTGAGGGTAGAAAGAATACTGAGGACCTCAACTGTTCATTAATGTTATTCACTGGTCCTGAGGGAGTGGTTAGAGGCTGATCTCTATCACAGGTATGCTGCCATGTAGACACCAGGAAAGCTGTTGTTATATGTCCAAGTTTTTTTGTTTGTTTTTTTTGTATAAAAGTATTACATTTTCATAGTCAAAAATATAGAAACCAGGCACATTTTTTTACCTTTTCTGATGAATCCAACAAGTTGGTGGCGACCAAATATTTTAAAGCAATACTTTTTTTCAAAAATGTTGACAACCATAATTGGCTGCACTGTAAATAGCAATTACACACTCGGCTTTCCGCTGGCAGAGGTCATACTTTATTACTTTAAACATTCCCTAGGATGGATACGTTTACCAAAGGTGGGCCCCTTCAGCAAAGTGAGGCTAAATCAAATGCCCAATAGCCCCATAAGGAGTGATGTCATACACTGTTCATTTTTTATGTTCAGCCAGCGAGTTCAGATCCTCCCACTGGGACATTGTATTCTGCACCATTGGCTATCACAATACTCTGATCAAGATATACACTATATTGCCAGGCTGCTTCTACAAACATTTGTGAAAGAATGGGTCGCTTTCAGGAGCTCAGTGAATTCAAGCATGGTACCGTGATAGGTTGCCACGTGTGCAATAAGTCCACCCGTGAAATGTCCTTGCTACTAAATACTCCACAGTCAACTGTTAGCAGTATTATAATAAAGTGGAAACAACTGGGAACAACAGCAACTCAGCCACGAAGTGGTAGGGCACGTAAAATGACAGAGCGGGGTCAGCACATGCAGAAGCGCACAGTGTGCAGAAGTTGCCAACTATCTGCAGAGTCAATAGCTAAAGACCTCCAAACTGCATGTAGCCTTCAGATTAGCACAACAACAGTGTGTAGAGAGCTTCATGGAATGGGTTTCCATGGCCGAGCAGCTGCATCCAAGCCTTACATCACCAAGTGCAATGCAGTGGTGTAAAGCACGCCACCACTGGACTCTAGAGCAGTGGAGACATGTTCTCTGGAGTGATGAATCTCGCTTCTGTCTAGAAATTTGATGGTCGTCTAGATTTGGCGGTTGCCAGGAGACCGGTACTTGCCTGACTGCTTTGTGCCATGTGTAAAGTTTGGTGGAGGGGGGATTATGGTGTGCTGTTGTTTCTCAGTGATTGGGCTTGGCCCCTTAGTTCCAGTGAAGGGAACTCTTAAGGCATCAACATACCAAGACATTTTGGACAATTTCATAATACCAATTTTGTGCAAACAATTTGGGCATGGCCTCTTCCCGTTCCAACATGACTGCGCACCAGTGCACAAAGCAAGGTCTATAAAGACATGGTTGAGTGAGTTTGGGGTGGAGGAACTTGACTGGCCTGGTCCTGGCCTCAACCCGATAGAATATCCCAATACTTTTGGCAACATAGTGTATCTTCCAGCATGTCTCTTTGACAGAAGTCAATCAAACAATTGACTTCTACCAAGAAAACAGAGAAATGGGATTTTTAAGGTCTTGATACCTTACATCAGAATGGATCAGACGACTACATCTAAAGTAAAAACATCACGTTTTATTACATAATCTCATTTAAAAGTTATTGGGGTGACAAACCCCCTAGAGAAATGCACAAATACTAGAACTTCAGATGATAGTACATAGAATATAGAATATTAACATCTGTATATGTATCAGGAAGAGGGCTTCTTCAAGGGTTCAAAGGGTGCAATCAAAAATCGCTACTAAAAACAAAAAACAGAAAAACAATATACAGTATCTCACAGAAGTGAGTCCACCCCTCACATTTTTGTAAATATTTTATTATATCTTTTCATGTGACAACACTGAAGAAATGACACACATGCTACAATGTAACGTAATGAGCGTACAGTTTGTATAACAGTGTTTATAACACACATGGCTGTGTGCCGAGTTATTTTTAGGGGACAGCAAATTTACACTGTTATACAAGCTGTACTGCTTTGCATTGTAAAGGGCCAGAGTCAAGGAAATACCCACTAAAGACCAGCAGTGGATTAGCAAAAGTTGTTTAGTATCCCTAAGCATGTATGACTTATTTGATAGGTAAGTGTATGGTGCACCTATTCAGGGATGGGAAACACTACGATTTAGTCGGCACGGTGGAGAAATGCATTAATTTGATTATTACACTTTGGAGCACATTTTTTCTTTAATGTGAGTTCATATCTGAGTGCGTATAATTAGTAACTTAAAAAAAATGGTGTTGCACTTTGATGTATTTCTGTTTATTTTGCACGGTTTTGGAGCCAAAGGTCCAATGAAGATATAGCACGTGGAAGGAAAACTATATGGATCAGAAATTTGCAGGCTACTTAGTCTTCCTAAAAGCGCGTTTGGCCTATTATAATTTATAGGTCAAAATTCAAGGTGAGCAGGGAATGGGGCCACAATTCAAGCATGGCGTTGAATATTGCTGGACGATAGCACAACAAATGTTGGATTGGACTGATATTATTTTACATTATTGCAAATCTTTTTTATGTACTGACACTGCATGTTTCTTTTAGAGCTTATGTTTTAACAATCTGAGGAGGTAGCTGCAAGGATTCAACCTATATCTGTAGCCCTTTAAATGTCCTCGGATATTACCAGCCTCTGAGCTCAGGAGAAATAAAGATCTGGACACCGAAGTGTGCAAGCTAAATCTCTGAAAGTTTAATGCATGCTAGCAGTTTTTACAAAATATTGTAATGACCAATAACAATATTGTACTCTTATCAAGAAAGATAACAACGACAAATGACTGAAGACCACCATATAAGGCAGTTCCGTTTAGAAAACAAAGAGTTGTTACAAGTGACATGAAAAAACGAAAGTAACTTGTTCACACATCTAAAATGGAGGTGTTAAACAAAATGGATGCCAGTTAATAAGACATTTTTCCTTACAGTAGCGCATCAAATTGTTTTTTATTTATTTTATTTGAGTGTGAGTACACTAGATCAGTGAGTGCAGCAATCTCCTCCTTCCATTACTGCATTTTGGGTATAGCAGTGCACAAGCCTTTACTATTAAAAATAAATAATGAACTATTTTTTTTTACAAAATGGCCAAGTAAAATTGTTAACTACTCTGTCTGGAGTCAATACAATATTTGGCTGTCTTTTTCTGCAAAATAAATACACTTTGAAGTTGATTTTTTTTACTAAAAGTTGACTGTTGTCTCGCCTGTTCACGAGTGCTTGAAGGCTTTGTGAAGAGCCAGTATAGTATTTGCTAGCTTTTTGCTATGAAAAAAAACACTCTAGTGTTGATGTTTTCAGAAAAATTGCATGGTGTTTTGCTATGAAAAGTAGGCTAATAAAAGTGCTTAAATACTCTGTATGGAGTCAGTTCAAGATTTTGCTGGCTTTATTTAATGAAATATTATAGTTTAATGTTAAATTATTGATTAAAGCTGGCTGTTGTCTCCCTGGTTCAAAATATGGTCTTCTAAAGTTGCTTAAATCATGTGCTTAAACGAACACCGAATATTGTTTAATTTGGCTTTTCTGGGCACAATTCACTAAAACTTATCACATGAGTTAAGTCAGTCACATGACCACATATCGTATGTGATACTGAAAATGTCAATTCAATATTGCTAGTATGCGGTATTTACCGAAAATAGAAAAAACACTCAGTAAATACAGCATAAAAAGACCTTAAAGTCAATTCACAAAAGGAAATAAATAATTAAATGCACGCAGTAATTAAGTAGTAGTCCAGGCATGCGGTATGTACTGGTATCTGTCAGTAGTGTCATGGGTTGTTAAGAAATGGGTGGCTGCAGATTCCTTAACAACCTATGAGTCATCAGCAGTCAGCAGGGTTCCCCACTGACAGCTGAATGTAAAAAAAAAAAAAATTCAGGTAATTAAAAAATAATTTAAAAAATGGCAACCCCCACGCGCCAAAATAAAAAAAATGGCGTGGGGTCCCCCCATAATCTATACTAGACCCTTGTTCGAGCATGCAGCTCGGCGAGTCAGGAAAGGGGGGGTGTCCCCCCTGAACCATACCAGGCCACATGCCCTCAACATGGGGGGGAGCTTTGGGGCGGGAGGCTCCCCCCAAAGCACCATGTTGATGGGGACAAGGGCCTCTTCCCCACAACAAAAAAGGAGCGTGAAAAGAGATTCACAAAAAAGCAGTTACATTATGGACAGAATGCAATACTCAAAAGTAATTAAAAAAATTATGCTTTATTACACAATACATATGTAGACATATAAGGTAAATACCTCAGTTCACCATCACCTCAGTATGAGATAATACATCAAAATTGACTTAAAATCACTTAAAAAACAGATGTCATGACCGTTCAAAGTAATGGATTGCTGCAGATACAGTTGCAAGAAAAAGTATGTGAACCCCTTGGGATTACATGGAGTTTTGCATGAATTGGGCATAAAATGTGCTCTGAACAACATCTAAGTTACAACAATAGAAGAACACAGTCTGCTGAACATAATACTACACAAACATTACATGTTGCCATGGTTTAATTGCACATAACATGTAAACATTCACAGTGCAGGGAGGAAAAAAGTATGTGAGGCCCTAGCTTAATGACTTCTCCCAGAGCTAATTGGAGCCAGGAGCGAGCCAACCTTGACTCCAATCAGTGTGATGACATTGGATGTGTTGCTGACAGCTGTCCTGCCCTTAAAAAACGCACACCTGTTTTGGGTTTACTGGTTTCAAGAAGCACTGTCTGATGTGAACCATGCCTCGCAGAAAAGAGCTCTCAGAAGACCTACGATCAAGAATTGTTGACTTGCATGAAGCTGGAAAGGGTTACAAAAGTATCTCCAAAAGCCTTGATGTTCATATGTCCATGGTAAGACAGACTGTCTACAAATGGAGAAAGTTTAGCACTGTTGCTACTCTCCCTAGGCTTGGTCGTCCTGTAAAAATGACTGCAAGAGCACAGCGCAGAATGCTGCATGAGGTAAAGAAGAATCCCAGAGTGTCAGCTAAAGACCTACAGAAATCTCTGGCACATGCTAACATTTTTGTTGACACATCTACAATAAGGAAAACATTAAACAAGAATGGAGTACATGGGAGGACACCACGGAGGAAGCCATTGCTGTCCAAAAAGAATATTGCAGCACGTTTGAAGTTTGCAAAAGAGCACCTGGATGTTCCACAGCACTACTGCAAAATATACTGTGGACAGATGAAACCAAGATTGAGTTGTTTGGGAAGAACACACAACGCTATGTGTGGAGAAAAAAAAGGCACAGCACACCAACATCAAAACCTCATCCCCACTGTAAAACATGGCGGAGGGAGCATCATGGTTTGGGGCTGCTTTGCTGCCTCAGGGCCTGGACGGATTGTTGTCATTGATGGGAAAAATGAATTCCAGAGTTTATCAAGACATTTTGCAGGAAAACGTACGACCATCTGTCCACCAACTGAAGCTCCGCAGAGGATGGGTGATGCAACAGGACAATGACCCAAAGCATACAAGTAATTCAACAAAACAATGGCTGCAACAGCACAGAATACGCCTTCTGGAGTGGCCCAGTCAGAGTCCTGACCTCAACCCGATTGAAATGCTGTGGCATGACCTTAAAAGAGCGATTCACACCAGACATCCCAAGAATATTGCTACACTGAAACAGTTTTGTGAAGAGGAGTGGTCCAAAAACTACTCCAGATTGTTGTGCAGGTCTGATCTGCAACTACAGGAAACATTTGGTTGAGGTTATTGCTGCCAAAGGAGGGTCAACCAGTTATTAAGTCCAAAGGTTCACATACTTTTTCCTCCCTGCACTGTGAATGTTTACATGTTATGTGCAATTAAACCATGGCAACATCTAATGTTTGTGTAGTATTATGTTCAGCAGACTGTGTTCTTCTATTGTTGTGACTTAGATGACGTTCAGAACACATTTTTTGCCCAATTCATGCAAAACTCCACGTAATCCCAAGGGGTTCACATACATTTTCTTGCAACTGTATAGTGACAATAGGTCTAACACATATGCAGCACTGACACAATGGTTACACCGCCAAGCAGGGGGTGTTTTCAAAAAATTGTACCAAACATGGCATAGCAAACAATGCAGTATATGGCTGATCATGTGTACCAGGTAGCGGATATAATTGCCCAATAAACCTTAGCAGGTGTATATAGACTGTAGAAAAATATATATAGAGAGAATCTGCCTCCACAACCATTAACTGGGTAATAAGCAGAACAGACAGTAGTTACGGTAAGTACAGTTGTGTTCAAAATAATAGCATTGTGTTGAAAAAAGTGAATAAAGCTCAAAATCCTTCTAATAGCTTTTATTTCCATACACACAAATGCATTGGGAGCACTACACATTCTATTCCAAATCAAAACATGAAGAGAAATATATCAAATTTGTGTTGTTCCTCTAAATAAATTGAAGAAAAGTGAATATTAGACTGTTCAAAAATATAGCAGTGTTTGTATTCTTCTTTACAAACTCAAACATTCACTATATAAACTGAAAAATGTTTGAAGATTTTGCTTTCCTTTAAATCACTTAATTAATATTTAGTTGTATAAGCACTGTTTCTGAGAACTGCTGTACATCTGTGTTGCATGGAGTCAACCAACTTATGGCACCTGTGAACAGGTATTCCAGCCCAGGATGATTGGACTACATTTCACAGTTCTTCTCTATTTCTTGGTTTTCCCTCAGAAACTGCATTTTTGATGTCACCCCACAAGTTTTCTATTGGATTAAGATCCGGGGATTGGGCTGGCCACTCCATAACGTCAATCTTGTTGGTCTGGAACCAAGATGTTGCACGTTTACTGGTGTGTTTGGGTCGTTGTCTTGTTGGAACACCCATTTCAAGGGCATTTCCTCTTCAGCATAAGGCAGCATGACCTCTTCAAGTATTCTGATGTATTCAAACTGATCCATGATCCCTGGTATGCGATAAATAGGCCCCAACACCGTAGTATGAGAAACATCCCCATATCATGATGCTTGCGCAACCATGCTTCACTGTCTTCACAATGTACTGTGGCTTGAATTCAGTGTTTGGGGGTTGTCTGACAAACTGTCTCCAGCCACTAGACCCAAAAAGAACAATTTTCTTTCATCAGTCCACAAAATGTTGCGCCATTTCTCTTTAGGCCAGTCAGTGTGCTCTTTGGCAAATTGTAACCTCTTCAGCACATGTCTTTTTTTCAACAGTGGGACTTTGCGGGGGCTTCTTGAAGATAGCTTGGCTTGCCATTTTCGCTATCCTTCTATCCATTCGAATGGTAGTTTTTTCGCTTTCTTCCACGTCTTTCAGGTTTTGGTTGCCATTTTAAAGCATTTGCGATCATTTAGGCTTAGCAGCCTATCATTTTCTGCACTTCTTTATATGTTTTCCTCTCTCCAATCAACTTTTTAATCAAGGTACGCTGTTCTTCTGAACAATGTCTGGAACGACCAATTTTCCTCAGAATTTCAGAGAGAAATGCACTGTAACCAGCATGTACAACATTTGCTGCCTTCCTTCCTTAAATAAGGGCAATAATTGTCACCTGTTTTTCAAAGAATGAATGACCTCACTAATAGAACTCCACATTGCTATTATTTTGAACATGCCCCTTTCAATTAGTGATTCAATTACACAGAATTAGCAGCATGCATGTCATGACTGTTGGGTCTGTTGGATTTCCATTACTCTACTACACCTGCTAGTAAATTATTTGCCATGTAGTAATATCATTTCTACCAAAAACAGTGATTGATCAGGTTAGTGATGTCTGACTGCTATTATTTTGAACACAACTGTATATGTAGCAAGAGTAGGTGGTGAGATATCAGACAGCAGCAGTCATGTCCATGATACTAGATAACATGAACTTGATAGCCGTAGTTCTGTCACTATATGACTTCCATAGTATTGTAGAAATGGCAGGGCCCTGCCATAAGGGGGGTCTTCACCGCAACATGCGGGCTGCACACCTCCTTAATGGTAATGTTGTAATATGAAATACAGGATCATCCGTGCCTTGTAGTAAACAATGCCCCAGTTTAGGTAAAATTGTAGGTGAATGTCCATTGATGGTGGCAAGGAGAGCACCAAATCTTGGTGATTTACTTATTCACTCTGATTATCAGCCATTAAAACAATCAACATGGCTTACGCTATGTACTAAAGGGATGTTTAGATGTGGAAAATGCCAGATTTGTAAATTTGTAGATCGTACCAATAGGTTCTCTGATTCGAATAATAAGGCTCATTTTAAAATTCAAAGCCTTATAAATTGCTCCACTGCTAGAGAATTATATATGTTGACATGCCCATGTAAAAAAAATGTATATTGGTAAAACTAAGAGGCAGCTCAAAGTGCAAATAGGTGAACACTTTAGCGATATTAAATCGAATGATCCTGAGAGTAATTTAGCTCAACATTATGTTAAGTACCATGGCGGTAAACTAGAGGGCACTAAGGTCAAAGGAATCTATGCACTTAAATTCCTGCAGAGGAGAGGTGATTTTGAGAGAGAACTTTTAAAATGTGCAAAACATTGGATATATAAACTTGATACTTTATCCCCTAAAGGGTTAAATGTTGAATTTGACCTCCAAGTGTTTTTGCAAAAATAAGAAGACTTGCAGTGTAAATCTCTTCCCTGCCATCTGTGGGAGTTAAGGATAGCTATTAAGAAATCCATTTAAATGACATTGTATGAATGTAAAAACATTTTCTCCCCACTGTGTAGCCAGGTGTATGCATATCTATTTGTGTTATATGACCAGTTATTTGCTTATTATTTTAGTTATTTTTCTATTGAGTTTAATTGCCACCAGCTGATTTACATATATATGGGCGGCAACAAGCCTATTATAAATAATGCATATAAGGTAGGCATTTCATTGGTCCTGACGAATGCTGAGTGAGATACGCCCATCGTCGAAACACGTTGACGTCATACGTCAGATACGTCTCTTCCAGTCGGATGCATTGGCACCACCCACGCAATCCTCCAGGGGAGGCGGCAATACGCGCTGGCTATGAGCAGTGCTAGGCAGCGCAAGTACAAGGATGGGAGCGGAGCCCGTTTACTTGTAGTTCCGATGGTGGCGGCTGCCCGCATGTTGCGGTGAAGAACTTCCTTATGGCAGGGCCCTGCCATTTCTACAATACTATGGAAGTCATATAGTGACAGAACTACGGCTATCAAGTTCATCTTATCTAGTATCATGGACATGACTGCTGCTGTTTGATATCTCACCACCTACACTTGCTACATATACCTACCGTAACTGCTATCTGTTCTGCTTATTACCCAGTTAGTGGTTGTGGAGGCAGATTGTCTCTATATATATCTTTCTACAGTCTATATACACCTGCTAAGGTTTATTGGGCAATTATATCCGCTACCTGGTACACATGATCAGCCATATACTGCATTGTTTGCTATACCATGTTTGGTACAATTTTTTGAAACACCCCCTGCTTGGCGGTGTAACCATTGTGTCAGTGCTGCATATGTATTAGACCTATTGTCACTATATTTGCAGCACTCCATTACTTTGACCGGTCATGACGTCTGTTTTTAAGTGATTTTAGGTCAATTTTGATGTATTATCTCATACTGAGGTGATGGTGAACTGAGGTATTTACCTTATATGTCTACATATGTATTGTGTAATAAAGCATAATTTTTTAAATTACTTTTGAGTATCGCATTCTGTCCATAATGTAACTGCTTTTTTGTGAATCTCTTTTCACGCTCCTTTTTTGCTGTATGGGGTTTTGGTTACTGAGCAGATCATGTACGTTTAGCGATACGTGATATTCTATAAGCCCCTTATTCTTTCTATTTTTACCTCTTCCCCACAACCACAGCCCAGGGTTGGGGGCTTATTGGGTTGGGGCTTATTGGAATCTGGAAACCCCTTTAGCAAGGGGGCCCCAGATCCCACCCCCCCATGTGAATGAGTATGGGGTACATGGTACCGCTAACCATTCACAAAAAAAAAACTGTAGTGTGTATTGTTCTTACAAGGCACACATTGAGGATAAGAAATAAATCATTCATTTTGATCACCTTTAACACAGATGCAGGATTTGCTGCATCATATTTTCTGCAATAACCTTCTTTGCTACATTCAGGCCAGCTATAGAGGTCTCAGGAAGTGATAAATTACTGTTACAATAACTAGATTCAGAATAATGATGCTACAAATTTTGTAAATCCTGTGATAATTGCACATATTTTTATTAAAATGATATTTCAAAAGCACAACATAACTTCCAAAATTCCTACTAAATCTAAAAGATAAACTTTATTGACTTAATAAATAATTGAATTTTACATTGTGCCTTATTTAGAAATGGTGAAAATTTAAATTTTGCAAAACTGTAAATATGCAATGTATGCTAAAAGTCTGGAGGTTGGCCTTACACCTATGCATTGTGGTAACACCAGATCTGCAGTGCTGTATGTATGCTGTGTTAGAGTGTGTTGTAATAAAATGATGCAGGAATACATGCTGCTCACTGTGGTACATAAGCACCTTTGACTCCCAGGCAAAGAAATACACTTCTTCTTGATGCTGGATGGTCATTTGTGTCCATGAGAATGAGACCTTATTATTGTTTGTTTGGTTTTTTTTTACTCTTTAGATTTTTAAAAATTTATTTTAACATTCCTGTCTAGGGGCTTTTGGAAAAAGTATATATACTGATATTTCACTTTTGAATTAGAGAAAGAGATTGAAGATACGGAGTCCTCAATCTCCTTCTCCTTTGCTGCCCTGCATTCATTAACATTAAATACTGAAATGTTCAACACACTGCTTTGGTGCTCATTCACAAACAGGGGATAATAAACATGCCATTCATGTTTATTATTTTTATTATTTTACAGGATTTATATAGTGCCAACAGTTTGCGCAAATGAAGGTAGACATTACAGAATGGAGGAGAAAACAGAGGACCCTGCTCATTAGAGCTTATTATCTCATCTGTTAAGAATGAACACCAGAATTACTAATGAGCTCTCTTGTGTTCATTCAAGGCATTGGTATACATGAGAGGCATGTTTAACGACTTCCACGCTCTCCATCCTGAATAAATGTATCCTCTTCTCTGTGTGCTCACTAACAGACTGTCACGCACCTGGCTGTGGAGCCCAAGATGAGGGGATCCTAAGATTCCCATTCAAGCACCCCTTGTAGTAAGGACAGGGACTGCTAGGGCAGTGGAAGGGTGTAGGTGCCAGGAAGCTGGAATAGTGAACTTGAGCTTGGAAACACAGGAGTCCTTCCAATGGTAGTATGGAGTCAGGTCACAAGCTATGTTCAGCCGCAGACACAGGCAGACAGGTGCAGGATCAAGTTCAAGGTCAGGAACAAGCAGGAGTCAGTAATGTGCTGGCAGACAAGTCAGAAAACAGAATTGTGGTCAGAAGTCCAAGCCGAGGGACAGTAACACAAGCGAGCAGCAGACATAACAGGCAGGGGTGATCCAAGAGAAGTGTCAGACATAGCCAGATCAGAAACAAGGTAAGATGGCACATTGAGGGCAGAGCAGAGGGAAGTGAAAGGCACACAGAGCTGATTTCCAGTGCACAGTGAGGAGAAACAGTGAACAGGAGGGTACACTGTAAGGGGAAGCAGGTGGTAATACTTTTAAAGAATGGCTGAGACAGGGGCGGACTGACCATTTGGAAACTCGGGCACTGCCCAAGGGCCCGGGGTCAGTAGGGGGCCCCATGAGATGCCCCTGGTACCTTTTTTATAGGCTTTTTTGAGTTTGGGCAGGGACACAGGGGCCCCATGATGCCCTATTGCCCAGGGGGGCCCCATGAGTTGTCAGTCCGCCTCTGGGCTGAGATCAGCAGCTTGTCAGTGTTCATTCACAGCCATTCATTTAGTCGGCAGAGTCTAGGGGACACTTCTTTTATAAGTTCATGGTCAGGGATGCAACTGTGAGTTTATAGCAGAAGGGAATGCAAAGGGAATGAAAATGATGTAAAGCTGGGAATGGTCCTGTTCCAACTTAAACTTTACATCTTTGGCCACAAAAGAGTTACATATACATTCTTGGGCTTAACAACTGCATTTAATGTGTAATTTTGAACATGTAGACCACAGCAAAGTGTTTAAATACTGTTTATGGAGTCTGTACAATATTCCTTGCTTTTGTCTGTAAAAATGTACACTTTATTGGATTTTTTGGCCTAAAAAACCATATTCCTTCTTTTTTCCTGTGAAAAATATAAGCTTACTTTGTTTTCTTTGACCTGAAAAGTTTCAGGAGTTGAGTGATTTAGCAAATTCCGTCTAAAATAGATTCTTTAACCACTTGCCTACTTTGCATTTTCACCCCCTTCCTGCCCAGGCCAATTTGCAGATTTTAGTGCAGTCGCACTTTGAATGACAATGTCATGCAATACTGTAGCCATATGAAATTTTTTAAAAAATTTTGAGACAGATAGATCTTTCTTTTGGTGGTATTTGATTACCACTGGGTTTTTTTATTTTTTGCTAAACAAATGAAAGACCAACATTTTACAAGAAAAAATATTTTCCTTAGTTTCTGTT